TCAGAAAACATGGCCCAAAGAATATCAAAGATATGTAATACACTCCATTTTGCACAAACAAGCCGACAACAAAAGCTCCATTTTTTGTTCAATAAATGCAATACACTCCATTTTAGAAATAGTAGGCAATCCAAAATCAATTGTTATTTGCACTATGCCATTTGACTTTGTTGAATATCATTGTTATTGCAAAGCACATACAATATTCTTCACATAAACACGATTATATTTATCCTACCCCATATCTTCTACATATTCATAGATAATAGTTCATCATATCCTCATAAAAAATAAAATATAAAGCAACTTTAATACCAAATCGCAGGGAACAGAGCATTGCATATATATCTTATAGCCTCAACAAATACCCTAAAAGAATCAAATCGCATGGAACAAAGCATTGCATCAATATCTTCTAGCCTCAACAAATACCCTAAAATCAGTAACTTTGAATAGCATGGAGACCATATGAACAAAACTCGAAAAAAATTTTGGTTAATACAATTATGTGCATTGTTCGAAGAAAGGTTGGGATGGGGAATGGAGAAGAAAACTCTTTGGATGCTTCAAACATATCACAAAAACAGTGGATCTATATTTTTACCGCCGCTACTTGCATATTCAGAACAGATCTCGGTTTTAGCTACCAAACAATTCCAAACATATGGATCGAGTGAAATTTCTTGCAAAAAAACTTAGATCTCTCGGCGAAATGGGGGAAAGGAGGGAGGAGCCGAGCGAGGAAAGAGTTTTGTTACCTACGGAGCGACGGAGGCGAGATCGACGCCAAATGTTCGAAGGAAGGTCGGCTACAGGCTTAGGAGGGTAGCGGAGTAAAAAATGGAGCCCAAACGCGGATCACGGGGATATACCCGCGATTCGCGTGTAATATAATATAAAAAAGTTGTTTCAAAAAATGCATGTAAAACGCGATATCCAAACACTAGGGCGGCGTTTTTAAAAACGTTTTTAAAAACCCCCGCCGCACATTTAAGCTGCCCCAAACGGGCCCTAAGGGTCCCTTTGGGGCAACTTATTTGGTGCGGTGGCATTTTGAAAACACACCTGGACTGTTTGGGTAAACTGTGTCTTGGCAACTTATGCGTTTTGAAAACGCTGAAAGAAGCGTTTTCACACCGCACCTATCTAGGTGCGGTGGCAGCTTTCCGGCAGCGGTCTGACTTCTAAAAAAAAAATAAAAATTTGTAGTAGTCACCGCACCTAACTTCTCAGCAGATTATTTTTAATCAGCTTTAATCAGCTTATCAAATTATTAAATAAGCTGCAGCTGCCCCAAACAGACCCAAAGTCTATAATTAAAGAATAATTAATGTTATCATTCCTAGCTTAAAAGTTGGGTTATCAAGCAGCAATTGATCACATGCTTTGTTTAGGATATCTATTATATGAAATTTTACAGAGTACACTTAATTTGAATATCCCTTGATCAATTTTTATTTTTTTTAATAAAATGTACATCAATTCAGCTTGATCAGTTCTATCATGGTTATCACATATCATTATCATTACTTCTTTAATGAGGATGTTTAGGGATTTAAAAAATAATTTTAGCCATGTTCCTTAGTAAATTTTATGATCCATGGCCTACTTGCTACTTTTAGCAACATCGTATATATGTATTTTTTATTTTTTTCATGTGACTATATTTCCCAAAATGAATGATAGTTAGGGGTGGATTTTTAGTCAATTATGAACCCAATCCAATCATTATCAAAGGAAGAAAATTTATGTCCTTTTAACTATTTCCTTTTTTTTTTTAATGAAAAGACATTTTTCTAGTGACATTTTTAATCATTTTAATATTTTATAAGATTTATAAAGATGTTTCTTGGTGTGATTATATATAGATTGGCTATTTACATTGAAAGAGTAATAGATGTTAGAAAGAGTAGAAGAGATAAATAAGTTTAACTTGACATAGGTGAGCTGTTTTGTCAATAGCATCGATAGGAACCCATTTTTATATTTCATTTTATTGAAGATCAAGAGTATATCTATGATGTGAAATAGCTATAAATTCTCTTAAAATTTTCAATTTAATATTAAGAAAAAATTTCAAAGCTCCAAAATCTTTAATTTCAAATTTATTTTTTAATATTCGCCCAGTCTCCTAATTTCTTCTTTAGTATTGTTAGTTAAGTTAATATCATTAACATAAATAATAAGAAAATGATTTAACTAGTGGATGATTCCTTACAAATGAATAGTGATAAGCTTGCAATTCCGAGTTTTAATGCTTTTAAATTATGATATTGAATCTCCCAAACTAAGCTCTTAAAGTTCATCCTGAGTTGTATAAAAAATTTTCATGTTTATACAATTTACCTTTATTTTAAGTAGTCTTGAATCTATAATGATTATTCGTTGTACTTCATTTTCACGGTTTAAAATTTATATTTATATATAGTTGGTGAAGAGGCTAATCAAGATTTGCAATGAGAAAGAATGACCTGAAAAGAGTTAATCTAAGTAACTAATTCCAAAAGTTTGAGTAAATTCTTTTAAGGTCAATTTAGCTTTGTACCTTTGCATATATTTTATATTAAAGATCCATTTGCATGCATCAGTACATCTTTTTTGTAAGGTCAATTGTTTTCACAAGCTATTCATTTCAAGTGCATGCGTTTCTCTATAAATAGCATCTATGCAATCAATTTTTTTAATACCTCTTGAATATTGTTGGAGTTTACCTACATTAGAAGGATTAATTATAAAAGCATGAAATTAAGAAGATAAGTACTTAAAAAGTATATGTATTCATTGATCAAATATTTTGTATTAGGTTTTATCATCCTTATATTTTTCTTATGAGCAATAAAGATATTAAGATCATAATTAGTGTTACATTGTAAAAAAGAATTGTAAATTGATTCAAGTGAGTGCTTTTACTATGAAGCAATCTCGGTTCATTATATTTTGTTAAATCTTAGAGAATTTGAACGACATAAATGACTGAGTTGGTGATAATTAAATTGTAGTTAGGTCAAGAATTTATCATGAGATTTACCATAAACCATCTCCAACATATATTCCTTTGATTAGGATGTGGGAAATACTTGTGAGGTTGTCCACAACCAATCTTCCATTTGTACTCTTTTGATAAGGATATGGGAAATCAAGTGTTTACACACTTTGTCCATGTAAGGTTTATTTGTTAACCTCTTTTTAAATTCCGTCTGGAATATGACATCAACAACCTCACCTTCCTCTTTCAAACTTCCATTAATTCAGTTCTTAAACCCTATCACAACCCAACTTGATTAGTGGCCATTCGAGCACTAGTTTAGTCAACCATAATATTGTCATATTTGAAGTTTCCTTGTTGAAAAATTCACCCTACCATTCGAGCACTAGTTTAGTCAACCATAATATTGTCATATTTGAAGTTTCCTTGTTGAAAAATTCACCCTACTAATGTGAATAAAATTTGTGATATTTTTTCTTCATAAATCTCTTGTTTTATTTCGTTATTATCATAATTTTATGCTTTGTGGAAGATGTTTTTGCAATGTTTGTAGGTTATAATTGTTAAGTGAGATTCAGGGAGCCAAAATACGAAGTTGGAACAAGCAAGAGGACCAATGTACCTACGACACTTCTTGCGCAATTACGTTAGGGTCTGTCTCAAGAAGCGCCAAAACAAGTGAAATAATATTAAAGTTGACATAATTGCACTAGGATGCGGCATAATTACCCCGAGTTTGGTGCACTTACTGACATGTGTCAAATTTATGTGATTTTATCTGCTATTTTTCTTCATTTACATATTAATTTTATTTATTTATCATAAATTTATGCTTGAAAAAGTGTTTTGTTCATGTTGTGCATGATGCATGAATTAAATATAAATAAATTGGAACAAGAAAATCGAGTTGATAAGTGCCCTGAAGTAGCGTGACGGCCAACTATAGCTATTGTAGCTCCCGACTACAACTTTCTTAATCAAATACATTTATTGTAACTCAAATACGGCTATTATAGCTCAACTAATATTGTATATCTATAATTATAAATTTTGTAATTTCATTTTATCTAATTTATAAGAAGAGTTGACCTATATATTTATAAATACATGTTGAATTACTTTAACTATGCTAGACCTTGTGATTTTTTTCTTTATAGAGTTTTTTCACATAAAAATTTTGGTGTCTTATAGTACTTTCAAATATATATGTGTGTTGAATATTTGTGCAATGCTAAAATATTAAATTATCATTCAATCATCATGAATTTTCCGGCATACAACAAAGATAAAGCTTAAATATTAATTTTATCATCATAAGTTTTCTACACACAAAAATAAAAAAAAAGGGGGCATTTACATACATACCAACTAAGTCCTATGTATTCACATACTTAGCACTTATGGTTTGTTGAAAATAAAATGCAATGTAAAAGAATTACAAAATATTATGACTACAATGTTTCTACAATACTTTAAAGTTATTTGATTCAATGTATAAAGTAGATTGAAAAAAATGTATTTCAAAAAATATATTTTTTGTTCGGCGGTAGTAGGAGTTAGCAGACCGCTGGCAGCGACATGTTGGTGGGCGGCTGGTGGGTTGCCGGCGGCGGACGACCAACAGACGGTAGACTACCGACAACAGAATGCAGGTTGCAGATGGCGGGGGTCTTTGGGGCCAGCTTACGGACGGAAGGCGGTGGATAGCAGGCGGGTGACAGCTTATCGATAATAATTTATATTTTCACTAACACTATAATTTAAATATTTTAATTTTTAAAAGATGAAATACACATTTTCATGGCATATATATATATATAT